AAAACTGCTACATCCGGCTGAGTTTTCTAAGTTCCGGTTAAAATAAACACCGCCGGAGAAAAAGCAGCTTCCGGCATCCGGAAATTTTGTGCCCTCCTTTTAGTTATACTGTAAATACAAATTTTCTAACAATGTAAAATTTCAATAATTTTAATAACAGTTACATAAATATTTACATTCTGGCTGTCAAATAAATAATATAATTTTACGCAATTCAAATTTAAGATTAGTATCCTTAACCTTCTAAAGGTTATTTGTTATTTCGAATTCAGATTAATTTTATTATCGGGATCTTTAAGATCAATAGTTTAATGTAGTAATTTAATTTTATAAAATCTAAGTTACGGAAGCTTTAAATTAAAAAAATAATATGAAAGCAACATAGCTTTCTTAAACTTGTAAGCTCTGCCACGAGAAATCAGACTTCAGGCTTTGAAGTTTATAATTTATCAGACTAAGCATATCAGAATTTATAGTAATTGAGTTTAACAAGAAATAAACTTCTAAACCTAAAGCCTGGTTTCTTTGGCGATACTCAACATATGATTCAAAATTAAAATTTGCACTTTTTAAATTTCGCAATTGTAATATATGGCTAAAGCGAGGCTAATTAAAACATAACATTAAATAAATATTAAAGCTACTTATACATATAATCTTAATTCAAGTCAAAATTTGAAAATAATTTCACAGTTATATGGTATATATTCATTTGTAATTAATTTGTAATTCTGATGTTTTATCTTATTTTCTGATTTTGAAATTTAAAAATACAATTAAACTCTACTTTTGAAATAAATTAATTTTAAAACATCTTATTCAATAATTTAAAAGATAAATAGTTCTTATTAATTATTTTACTTTTATAAAAATAAACTTTATTAAAAATGAATCAAGAGATTTTAAATACAGTATCTGAAAGTAGTATTCATAAAGAAAAGAAAAGAGGTCATAAAAAATCTGATATTTGGGAACATTTTTTTAAAGAATCATTAGGGCATAGACATTTTTTAGTAAAGTGTAAACATTGTTGTCTTTTTAAAACATGGGTTAGAGGATCTCCAGAAGAATTAAAAAGCTTATTTAGCATTATATTGTGATAAAGTTTCTCACAATATTAAATTAGAATATTTAGAAATATTAGCAATTTTATCTCATTATAAAAAACAAAAAAATGATAAATTAATTACAAATTATTATAATTTATCAAAAGAAATTAAACAAGGCAAAAAAGATAGAATTGATCAAGCATTAATTAGATTTTTTGTATGTTGTAGTATTCCATTTTCAATAGTAAACTATTCATATTTTATAGATTTTGTACAAAGTCTTTGTTTTGCCTATATACTACTCAAAAGAACTACACTTTCAACAACACTTTTAAGTAAAGAAATATCTATAGTTTTAATGCAAATTAATCAAGAGTTTAGACATGAAGAAAATTTAATATTAGGTAATATATTTTAAATATTTTTATTTTTAATATAATTTTATAATTTTTTATAAGTTAATTTATAATTTATTTTTAAAGTTATTTAATAATTAACAATATATAATATTATATTAATATAATTTTTATTTTATTTATAGCTATTGATGAATAGTTTAGTCCTTTAGAAAAATCTATTTATGTATTTGTTATAATTACTTCTAACAAAAAACAATATATTATACTTTAATTGATGAATCTAATAAATCTCATGCTGGAACTTTTAATATTTCTGAAATTGAAAGATTATATCTTTAATTGGACTACAAAAGTTTGTAGTAGTTGTATTAGATGCTGAACAATCTATACAATTAGCAAAAAAAATAATTGCTGAAAAGTATTCAAATATTTTACCAATTTGATATATAGCATATCATATTAATTTAATAACTTCTCTATTATTAAATTAAAATTTGCTAAAGAGATATTTAAGAAATATCAAATTATAATATCTTTTTTTAAAACATCATATTGAGTAGATACAGCTCAAGAAGATATTATTAATTCTTTTATAATTGAAGAAGAATTAAAATCCTCAACAAAAACAAGATAGTCTATAACATGAAATTGCTGTAATTCAATTATAAATTTAGAAAATAGTCTTAAACATGTTTGTAATTTATTATTATTTTATTAATAATATATTATAATTTAGGTTCTTAAAATCAATTTGAAATTTTTCAAGATGCTATTACTGTAAAAAATATTTTAAAAAATAGACAATTTTGGCAAGATGTTGAATATTTTAAAATTATTCTTGATCTGCTAAAAAAACAATAAATAGAGTTGAAACAAAAACAAGTAATATGGCATTATGTTTCTTAGAATTAATTAAAATATCAATTGCAATTAAACAAATTCTAAACTTTATAAATTCTGATTTTAAAAGATATTGTATTAAAATTTTTAATAAGTACTGGAATCAATTTGATATTTTAACATATCTTCTTTGTTATTTTTTATATCCTAAATATAGAAGTAAGTTTTTAAATATTTATATTATTTATTTTTAATTAATTTTTATTTATTTTAAATAAAAGTTTACAAGATAAAGCATTTGTAAAATGAGTTTAAATCTTTAAAAATTTGGAAAAATTTTAGTAGTAAAACATAAAGCTATAGAATTTTATTAACACAACTTAGAAGATATTCTGAAAATCTTCTTCTATATGATATAGAATATATTGAAAATTATGATATATCTGAAATTTAGCAGTTAATATGTAAACAATTAGATAATTATATTCAAAAATTAGCATTAAATTATTTGCTATAGTACCTCATCAAGCATCTTGTAAAAAAGTTTTTTCTATTTTAAATTAGATAATTAGAAAAAAAAGAACTAAGTATTTATTATATTTTATAAATTTTATAAATATTTAATAATATTAACTATTTTGTTTATTAATAATTATAATATTTTAGATTAAATATTAACTATTTTCATTCAATGGCACAAATACATTCTTTTTATATAACAAATTCTAAATCAGAATTAAAATTTTATGATAAAGATTTAGATGAAAATAATTTTGAAATTGCAATTTAAGAAATTATAAAAGCTATGGTTAAAGATAATAATCTTTTTGAAGATAATGATAATAAAGATTTTTCTAATAATAGTTGTGAAAATATTGATGATAATGATGATGAAACAAATCTAAATAATTTAATTATTAGAGAAACAATAAATTTAGATTTTTTTGATTTTCAAGAAAATGAAACTACTGTAGATATTAGTAATCAAATATATTCTAGAAATAAAAATATTGAAGATGAAGATTTTGATATTAATTTTGAAAAAATATATGAAGAAGAATTTGAGAGATAAAATTTTATTTATATAAAAATTTTTTATAATTTTTAATATTTTTTTCTCTAAAACAGGTTTTTTTATAACTAAATAGTAGCTTATATTTAAATTTAAGTTTTTAAATCTTTTTTATTTTTATTTTTATTTATTTTTTATTTTAAATTTTTTTGTTTTTCTTTAAATTTTTT